GTACAGCTGCCTTCACTGCCTTATGCTGTAGGTAGACTAGACTTCCTGTTCACATGCACTCACATGATGCTGCCTGTGAGGACCAGTGTTTCTTTCCAGGCAGCTGACCGGGATTATGAGGCTCCCAGGGAACAAAGAGCAGCAGCCTGCGGAGTTGCACAGAAATGCTCCGGCCCTGGTTTTATGCACATTTGCTTCTTTCTTCTCTTTTAAGTGGAAGTAGTTTTTTTATTGTACTTATTAAATTTTCATGCAAAGTCTAACAAGATCATATTAATGATTAAGGAGGACTAAATGTGGATGAGTAGGAATTAAGAATACACGAGGCCTTAAGGATAGCAACGTGCTGTAAGTCGATGCGTTTGGAGCGGAGCTTAAACCAAAGGTGAATTATCTCATTTGTAAACTGACCTGTTGCCCTCAAGCCTCTTAAGTTAAACAGATCAGAGCTTTTAGGACTCCTGGCTGCTGCAGGTTTAGTTTCTCAGGCTGATATAAGCTGATCAGTGGCTGTCGCTGAGGAAAATGTAGCAGCTCTGCAGAGAAAACTCACTGTAAAAAAACTGTGCCAAACATGTTTCCAAGTGAAATGCTCATGTCTTAAATGGTTTGCAAAAAATGAAACACCTGAAGTTTTAATAATTGTTGACATTATGATTTATTCACAAGGATCGTACATGCCTACAGGGTGTTTAGAGAACAAACATAACAATCGGCACAGATGTAATTTTGGACCGTCAGCAGACAGATGAATAGCAATAAATTCACTGTTTTGTCATGTGATTCTGTCACATGTAATCCTCAAGAGGATACAACAATCACTTTCATTGTATCTTAGTAAAATGAAATGGGAATCAAGAAATATTCTAGTTTCACTTGCTAGTTAATAAAATGTTGCACAAGTAAATCGAATAAGCATTTGTTTGATACATTATCTTGACAATATTCCAGTTTACAATTTCCTTAAACAAAATGTATTTGTGGATACAACTGTATATATTATCTCTAAATAATTAAGATTTGTTTTGTTGTAACAAGCAATTAGCAAACATTTATGTATGCCTCTAATGTCCCAGTACTCCAGGCAGCAAATAAAAAAACAGATCCCCCTCTATACGTTGAGATATTTATTATGTATCCATGTGCTTCCTGCTGAGGTCAAACTTCAGCAGTGAACAAACAGGTTTGAGATCTGTATCAGGTAACATTCTTTCTACATAGAGAAACAAGAGAGTGAGCAGAAAATACTTTGACATAAACATGTTGCTTTTTTGTTTTTGGCATCCTCTGGTGCTTTAATGTACAAAATTAAAAATGTTGTAATTGTGAGGGAGTGATCGACATGCATAATAACTTGAGAATGGATTGAATTATAATTTAAAAAAAAAAACATTTCCACCATCTTTTAACKTTCCTTCTGACATATTGGCTGTTACACTTCTGTTCTCTAGGCATAATTACAGTGAACCCATTACATCTGTTATTCACGCCAGCAGAGCTCAATCCACTTTGCTTCAAATTGGTTATGTGTTGCCAAAATGTCTCGTTAATTCAATACTATTGGGTCATACTCTCAATATTGTTCTAGCTAAATCATGATGTGATTACAGGGCTGGGGTGTTAAATGAGGCACTATTCAAATCAGCCTCTAATCGCTGCGTCTGTTAACATGTGGCCCAGCCAAGCTGAGGTGCCGGCTGAGGAGCCTCACATCTGCTAATTGGTACAAACAGGTAGCAGATGTGCGGTGCCACCATGGAGCCGCTGCCAATTAGACAGTGAGCGCTTAACCGCAGGCTGCCTCATCGGGGAGAGAGATTCGCCTGAGGCTCAGGAGCTGAGCTCAGGGAGAGCAGAAAAAAAAGATTTGTGTTATGGGCACAAGGACAGCCCTTTACCGTCCATTCTCATTCTTTACAACAAGATTGATGTATTTTCCAGGCAGGCATGTTTGGTTTGTCCAGGCTATGTGTGTCTGTGTTTGTACCATTGCAAGGTTTTAGATGGCACTATGACAGTAACCAGAGGGCCAGAGCCAGCCGGCTAAGAAGGAACTGATAAGCCAACAGAGCCTTTCTGTAGCTGGAATAAAAGGTTGATAACACATAGAGGTGTAACAATACATCGATCTATATCGATATRTCGATTTGAATGGTTCATTATTCAGTTATATCGAGGCAAAATGAAAATATCGATCATATCGTCATCATATGCTCAATGTGAATCSATATCATATGCCYATCTAACACAGTCWTTGTGTTARATGGACATATGAAATCGCATTATATCGATCRCAGATGTGGATTAAATTGAATCAAAATYGTACCGTGACAGACTTTGTGATATCAACAAATATCGAATAGTCATCCAAACATATCGATGTAATATCATATTGTGATAAAGCTGGTGATTTATACTCCTAATAACACATGGATGATAATCACATCATGGCCTTATGGTGATTAAATGCACATTTAGAAGGTATTATTTCGATCTTTTGCAGTGAGTTTCTGTAAAAAGATTATAATTAAAATCTTAGCTGATGTAGACCTTGAAAACCTGTTTGTATCCATCCTCTGACCTGTCCTTTTCAGTAGTCTTTTTTTTTTCTCTCGAGTTAATTAGGACAGGCAATTTAGGRGGAGAATATTTATACAGTCACATATTTTGTGTTATATGTTTGTATTTAATTGGCATTAGAAATTGGATTTCACTTTCTCATTATTGATGTTTTTCTGGATTTTTCAATTTGAATGTTTTGTTGAAAAAGTCTATTTTTATTAATGTGACTGATTTTATGTCAACAATAAACAGGTAAAACATCCAAGGGAAARAATACTGTTACATGTTATATRCACTGTACACTTAATGATAAAGTCYTGAAATTTTTGTTAAAATCTACCCTGTACTTCATGAGATATTTTGCCAAAAGGCAAGCAGGGTTGACATATTCAATTAATGTTAAAATTTAATCAAAGATTTCATGCAATGAGTAAGATTTGGAGTATGTGCTGTGAATAACTCTCATTTTCAAACATACACAAACGTACCTCGTATCTGTAATAATGAGTTAGTTGAAAATCCARTGATCATTTACAAGAAGTTCTGTTAAAATCTCTGCAGTGTTTCATGAGACAAGTTGCTAACAGAAAGAGTTGAGCCGACACTTAATGACAATTTTTAAACAATGTGTTTGGGAAGACTCTCAGCCACTTCCACGTCAAAATTTAAGTTTCATGTCTGTAAACTCATTTAAATTGTAGCCAGTTAGTGAAACAGGTTAACATCAAATTAAGTAGTTGTAGCTTTAATTTTAYTTATTGCTTTCCATATGTTTTATTTCAGTCTATTCACTGGTTTTGAGATATKTTGCTAACAAACACACAAAGTTGCCACGCTGTTTGTTGGCTGCCTTTCAGCAATGGACATTTAACGTTGTGGCATTTGGTGGAAAGACATATGACAAACCCTGAACAGCTTTTGATTAAGTCATAAAACATGTGGAAGTAAGTATTTTGAATTATTTGTTTTTATGTCCTACTTGAAACTGTTGAACTGCTTCTATCTCTGTCCGCTGAACAATGGTAACAAAGGATGAGAGCTTGATTGTTTCTGTTGATTTGATTTTTGATTTAATTTATTTATTTAACAGGAAAAGATTATTAAAAATCAAGCCTGACTCAGCATAATTGCTGTTTTACAGCAGGTTCCTGTTCTGCAGCACATAAAACAC